GGTACAGAGCTAAACAGAGAATTCTCAATAGAGGAATATTGAATGGCAGAGAAACATTTAAAGAAGTGTTCAACATCCTCAGCTATCAGGGAAATGCAAATTAAATCAACCCTGAGATTTTACCTTATGCCCATCAGAATGGCCAAGATCAAAAACTCAAGCCATAATACATGCTGGAGAGGTTGTGGAGAAAGGGGAACCCTCCTTCATTGCTGGTAGGAATGTAAACTTATACAAACACTTTGGAAATCAATTTGGTGCTTTCTCAGACAAGTAGGAATAGTGCTACCTCAAGATCTAGCTATACTTGTAGACATATATTCAAAAGATGCTCAGGTATACAAGGACATTTGCTCAATCATGTTTGTAGCAGCTTTATTTGTAATAGCCAGAATCTGGAAACAACCCAGATGTCCCTTAATTGAGGAAGGGATACAGACATTGTGGTACATTTACACAATGGAATACTACTCAGCGATTAAAAACAAGGAAATCATGAAATTTGCAGGCAAATGGTGGGAACTAGAAAAGATCATCCTGAATAAGGTATCCCAGAAGTAGAAAGCCACACATGATACATACTCACTTATAAGTTGATATTAGACATATAATATAGGATGATCATACTAAAATCTGACACCTAAAGAAGCTAAGCAAGAAGGAGGACCCTGGGTAAGATGTTCAATCTTCATTCAGTAAGGCAAATGGGACAGACATTTAAAAAAAGGTGAAAATAAGGAACAAGAAAGGAGCCTACCACAGAGGGCCTCTGAAAGACTCTACCCAGCAGGGTATTAAAGCAGATGCTGAGACTCATAGCCAAACTTTGGGCAGAGTGCAGGGAATCTTATGAAAGAAGGGGGAGATAGAAAGACCTGAAAGGGTCTGGAGCTCTACAAGGAGAACAACATAACCAAAAAATCTGGGCCTAGGGGTCTTTTCTGAGTCTGATACCAAGGACCATGCATGGAGATAACCTGAACCACTTGCACAGAGGTAGCCTGTGGCAGTCCAATCTCCAAATAGGCTCCCTAATAAGTGGAACATTGGCTGTCTCTGACAGGAACTCAGTTGCTGGCTCTTTGGTCACCTCCCCCTCAGGAGGGAGCAGCCTGACCTGGCTACAGAGGAAGACTATGAAAGACAGTCTTGATGAGACCTGATAGGTTAGGGTCAGATGGAAGGGGAGGAGATCCTCTACTATCAGTGGACTGGGAAAGGGGCATGGGAGTAGATGAGGGAGGGATGAAGGGATTGGGAGGGAACGAAGGTAGGGCTACAGCTGAGATACAAAGTGAATAAACTGTAATAAATAAAAAAATTGTATTAAAACATTTAAACCGAATTTTCTTTTAAGCTAGAGCTGAAAAAAAAAAAATCCAGCATATAGTTGTGCCAAAAAGCCTTTCTACACAGCTCTGATTAAAAACTGCCTTTTTGGTAAATTGGACTAAGTATGTGTACATTACTTCTTCCTATATGCCCCTTGACAGAATGTTTACAGATGTTGTGTAATTGCAGAGGTGGCACAGATGGCATCCTCTATGGAGAGAGAAGAGAAGCACACAGATACCAAGTCTGTCGTGTCTTCTAATGGCTCTTTCAGAAACATCTAGGCTTGCTTTTTCTCTCTCTTTAACGTTGGTATTCCCTGGGATTATGGATGTCTCTGTCCTGCTGGGAATGTTGTATATTTTCAAGTCTGAACTACTGTGTCTTGATGATTCTGTTTGTACCTTTAGTCCTGACCTCCAATGTGTACATCTCACCACCTAATATACATAGCCACTGAACTTTCACAGGCATCTCAAATTTAGCATTTCTAACATCTTCCCCTTCCCCCCGCCTCCTGACTTCATCCATAATATCTCCCCTTTATTTACACTTGTAAGTTTTTATATTATCGTGTACCTTACTCACTCCCCATGTTATAAGTCTGTGACTTAGTTTTAATTTTCACCCTACTCAGTCACTAAATTTAAGTTTTATAAATCACCTGTTTCTTTAGTCTACCCCATCTTTTCCTTCTGATTTCTAGTTTTCTTCAGACTCTATCACTTCTTTTTTTCTTTTTTAAATATTTATTCTTTTTACAGTTTACTCATTTTATATCCCATTGTATCCCCTTCCCTTTACTCCTCTAAGTCTCGCCTTTCCCTCCCCCCATTCCCTTCCCCTAGTCACTGAAAGGGGGAATTTCTCCTCTCCTACCCTCTGCCCCTAGCTTATTCTGTTATGAACTTGGTTGCCTGCTCTATCTCTTTTTATTGGAGCAGTAGTTCTGCCTCTAGCCTTGCCTTCTCCTAGCCCATCACGCTCATGGAGCAATGGTGGTTCATTGGAAACACACATTGAACATACCATTCTTCTGAGACCTTCTAACTTCCCTCTTGGGACTCTGTGTTCTCTTCCAGAATTATCTGAATTCTCAACTTTTTCTATTTCATGGTTCTAAACCATTTTTATACCTCTGAGACTTATCAGAACGTTTGATCATAATGACCATGTGTTTTATAGTCTATGTAAAATGTTTTTCCCAGCTTTTTTTTTTTTTTTGTATGTTTCAATACTTGGCTAAAATATTCTCCACTTATCTCTGGCATTCCATTATCTATAAATTGTTGCTTAGTTATAAATCCCTCAAGAGAAATGATTATGTTTTGTCTCCAAATTCATAGTATTTAGCCTTATGGTTTGCAGATAGGAGGAACCTTCCTTCCAATCTTTCCCATGTTCCACCTCCTCAAAACTATCCAAAGGCCTTTACCTCTGGGAACATTTGAAAGGCTTTGTCAAGATCATGTACGTGTATGTCTTGTTTAACCATCAGATTCTTTTGCTGAAGAAAATAGTGGTTTTACCTTTGGAAGACATAGGAATATTTCTGTTTAAGATAGTATTTTCTAAGTTTTTTGGTGTGAATTGAAATTACATGTTGTGTCTTTTAATATATTTTAACTAATAAACAATTATGTCACTTTCTCCTGGCTTTCCCTCCCTTAAACCCCTCTCATTTGCCCCCCGCAAATTGATGGCCTCTTTTTCTTTGTTTATTGTTTTACATATATATATATATATATATATATATATATATATATATATATATATGTAAACATTTTTGTTGTTTATTCATTATTGAAAGTATTTTTGAAATATTCTCTACAACCATTCCTTAGATTCACAGCTTTTTGTTCCATTATAATTTTTACTATAGAGTAAAATAATATTCAAGAAGAATGTTATTACATACATGTCACTATAATAAAAAGTAGTCTTCATTCTATATGTATCTTAAACTTTTATTTTATAGCCATAAGAATCATTTTCTCAAGACTTCATATCACAACCACTCATGACTAGTTTGAGAGGATGATATTTTCATTTGAAAGTAATAGTTTGTTACTTGTGTACAGGTTTTCTTGTGTACAGGTGGCTGGATCCAATGGCTAAGTGGCTGTAAAACTGTGTCTTAGTTCTAGAGAGGCCTAGCTGGGTCTTTGACTCAAGGTCTCTCCTAGGATTATAATCATGATTTCATCCTGGGCTGTGAGCTCTTGTCAGTGTTCAGTAAAGGTGACTATGGCTCCATGCCTACTCACAGCTGTTGTCAGAGTCCAGCTCTTCCTGTTAGCTAGAGGCCTCCTGACTTCCTTGTCAAATGGCGTATTTTAAAGCCAGTTGACAACGGGATGTCTAGCTTCCACAAAATCATAATCTTTTTATAACTAATCATGGAAATGACAGCTCACCACCTTTCTCCTTCTCTCTTTGTTAAAAGCAAGTCACTAAGGTCCGGCCTACGCGTGATGGAAGATCGTACAAAGTGTTTGGCTGCTAGGAAGAAGGAATAGTGGAAGCCATTTTAGAAGCTGTATGCTTTTGGCCGCTGTTTGTATGCAATAGTGAGGCTATTCTTACTGAGTTTTAAAATTGGCGCATACCGATGAAGTAATATTTACTCAACTCATTTAACAAGATATTCAATGCCTTGTAACGTCCAAGACATAAAAATAATTTTATGGGCTTCTCCATTAAAAGCATGTTCTTACCCCTACACAAATGTACCCCTTGTTCTTGTACTAGCGTGAAATGTGATGGAATGTTAGATCTTTACAAGGTTTTTGCCATCACTCATGACTATTGGACCAATGAATCAAGTGTCTTGGCTTTTCGCTTTCCCAAAAAACTGACATACTATTATTTACAAAATATATAAAAATAAAATTACTCTAGATTGATCTTGAATTCAAGTTGTTCTTTGTATAGTTTTGGATTATATTAGAATAGGTGAAGTTACTGCATACACTTTTGGGGAAGAAGCTTTGAATTTCTGCATCTAGGAGTACTGGTACAACATGCACGTGAAGAACAGCCCTGCTTTTAAGCTACGTGAGCCGAGGAGAACTGTTGCAGTACCCTATCATTGTTCTGGAAGCCGCATTTCACTGCCTAGTGGGAAACTCTGAAGCTTTTTCCTTTGTTAGTCATACATCTGTGTACTCATTATTCTTATCCTAAACCACTTTAACTCTTGGCTCAGAAACTATAATTCAACAGATGTGGTGACTGGCCTGAAAAAAAAAAAGATGTTTCCATGAAATATTTGTGTTTCTTGGTTAAAACTTGGCTTTGTCTGATCTGATTAATGAACTGATGTTTACATTGAAAATATGTAGGGAGTCCATTGTGAGTAATTTTCTTGACAGGCTTTTCAGGTGCCATTATCTTTCTTCTATGTGTAAGAATGATTGTTTTGTAGTTATGCTGTAAAACCTCCAGCCCTGGGGAGGGAGGCAAAGGTTATATGCCTAAAGTCATTTGTTTCAAAACTGTAGCCAGAGCTCTGACTGGATTTCTGATATTGATAAAAATGACCCTAACAGTACTAGTAGTGTTAAATGACATCGTAGATAAACAGCTTTGCATTAGGATCCTCTATAATACACTTCCTTATACATTATCCCTGGTAATTTGAAATTCTTGTTTTCTCTCTTTTGCAGGAAATATCATACTACAAAGCAAGATGGGTAACATTACAGTGGGTATGTGTCAAGGTGCTGGTTGGGAATAGCTTACAACAGCTATAGATGTGATGCTTTATTAAAGTCTGCAGTTTATCTCACAAACCTCACTTGATATGTTGTAGACCATGTTGTAAACAGACAGGGATGACGTACACTTAGATAAAAATATCCTGACCTAGTGTTAAGAAAGAACAAAAGTCTTACAAATCTTTTGAATTCTTTAAATATCTACATTAACTCTTTCAAAGAAAGATATACCCTCTCTTTCTCTCCATATATATGTTATATATGTACATATGTATATGCATATGTGTATATAAATTATTTCCAAAACTGTTGTTATTTGAAATTAGCTATTAGTACACCAATACCTTTTAATCTGTATTTATGAGTGTCTGTTTTATGTCAGGAATTCTCTTAGTACTACTAAGGAGTATACTGGTCAACAAGACTACCCATTTTATCTAGGAGCTGTCACCTCTGAGTGCCAGGAAGAAAAAAGAATAGATATCTTAGAAAAAACAAAGGTGATTTCAGATCACTGGAAGTGCAATAAAGAAATAAGAGGGTAATGTGATAGATAGAGATTGTCTAACTGAAGTAACTGTTTTTCCATAGGCAATCAGGAAAGAAGAGGGAACATTTTAACTGAGGTTACCAAAGTAACGACTAAAAGACTTACATAATTATGCATACAGAGCTCCCATACAGAGGGATGGAAAGAACAAGCCTTAAAAAATAGAATGGGTTGTGGTATAACTATCTTTTACGTTACAGCTAATATCCACTTCCAAGCGAGCACACACCATGTGTGTCTTTCTGCACCTGGGTTACCTCACTCAGGATGATTTGATTTTCCTAGTTTTATCATTTGCTTGTGAATTTCAGGGTGTCATTATTTTTACAAGCTGAGTAATCTCTATTGTGTAAATGTACCACATTTTCTTAATCCATTCTTCAGTTGAGGGACATCTAGGTTGTTTCCAGATTCTGGCTAATATGAATAAAACTGCTTATGAACATAGTTGAGCAAGTGTCTTTGTGGTAGGATGGAGCATCCTTTGGGTATATGCCTAGGAGTGCTATAGCTGGGTCTTGAGGTAGATCAATTCCCAGTTTTTCTGAGAAACTGTCATATTGATTCCTGAGGTGGCTGTAGAGTTGACACTCCCACCAGCAGTGGAGGAGGGTTCTCCTTGCTCCACGTTCTCAACAGCATGTGCTGTCACTAGTATTTTGATCTTAGCCATTCTGACAGGTGTGAGATGGAATCTCAGAGTCATTTTGATTTGCGTTTCCCTGATGGCTAAGGGTGTTGAATACTTCTTTTTAAGTATTTCAGCTATTTGAGAGTCCTCTCTTGAGAATTCTCTGTTTAGATCTGCACCCCATTTTTTAATTGAATTATTTGGTTTGTTGATGTCTACTTTCTTGAGGGTTTTTTGTTGTTGTTTTGTTTGTTTTGTTTTTAGATATTAGCCCTTTGTCACATGTGGGCTTGGTGAAAATCTTTTCCCATTCTATGGACTGCTGTTTTGTCCTGTTGACGATGTCCTTTGCCTTACAGAAGCTTTTCATTTTTATGAGGTCCCATTTATTAATTGTTGATCTTAGTGCCTGTGCTATTGGTGTTCTGTTTATGAAGTTGTCTCTTGTATCAATTCATTCAAGGATCTTCCCCACTTTCTCTTCTGTCAGGTTTAGTGTATCTGGTTTTATGTTGAGGTCTTTGATCCACTTGGACTTGAGTTTTGTGCAGGGAGATAGATTTTGATCTGTTTGCATCCTTCTACATCCAAACATCCAGTTAGACCAGCACCATTTGTTGAAGATGCTTTTTTCCCCCATTGTATATTTCTGGCTTGTTTATCAAAGATCAAGTGTTCATAGGTGTGTGGATTTATGTCTGGCACTTCAGTTAGATTCCATTGATTAACATGTCTGTTTTTATTGTGCATTTTTTTATTACTACAGTTCTGTAGTAGAGCTTGTGATCAGGGATGGTGATACCTCTGAAAGTTCTTTTATTGTACAGGATTGTTTTAGCCATCCTGGGTTTTTTGTTTTTCCATATGAAGTTGAGTGTTGCTCTTCTATGATCTGTGAAGAATTGTTTTGGAATTTTGATGGGGATTGCAATGAATCTGTAGATTGCTTTTGGTAGGATGGCCCTTTTTACTATGTTAATCCTACCAGTCTATGAACATGGGAGATCTATTTTCTGATATCTTCTTTAAAGACTTGAAGTTTTTATTATACATTTATCTTGGACTACAATCCACAGACCCAGGGAGGCTAAATAAGAAGGTGGGCTTAAGAGGGGATACAAGGATCTCCCTGGGAAGAAGAAATAGATTTTTGGGCAGACTGGGGTAGGTGGGGTTGGGGACAGGAAGAATCAGGTGGGTGGTCGGGAGAAAACACTGTGAGAAAAGACTGAAATTGGGGAAAGGTAAAACATATTGCAAGAGAAACTCCATGGAATCTGTGAGAGTACATGGAGCCTGAACCAGCCATCTTCTGTAGCCAGGCAAGGCCTCAAGTGGAGGGATTGGGACACCAACCCAGCCACTAAACCTTCGACCTACAATTTGTCTTGCCTGCAGAATATTCTGGGACCAGTGCCTAGCATAATTGTCATCAGGAAGGCCAGAGAGACTTCACCTAATGGAGTAGGTGCAGTCCCGTAGCCAAACATTAGGCTGAGCTCAGGGAGTCTTGTGGAGGAGGGGAAGGAAGGATTATAGGAACCAGAGAGGGGTCAAGTACACCACAGTAAAACCACCCACAGAATCGGTTTACTGGGAATTATGGAGGGGTCACAGAGATGAGGGAGTCTGAAGGGGTCTGGCCTAGGTCCTCTGCAGATATGTTATGGCTGAGTAGCTTGGTGTTCTTGTGGGATTCCTAACAGTGGGAGTGGAAACTGTCTTTGACTCTTGCCTACTTGTGGTACTCTTTTCCTCCTACTGGGTTGCCTTGTCCACATCTTTGCTGCCCCTCTAAGAAATGTAGTAAAACCGTATACAGATGACCGGTTCTTCTTACTGCAGCAGGTTTGCTGAAAGAGAAAATAAGAAATTCTTTGATTTCTCACTAACTTTGCTGTTACTTATAGACTGAACACAAGGTAACCAACTTTGGTAAATACTGGAAGTTTACTGAACTTGTCACTAGGAGAACAGATGAAATAAATCCTTCAGTGATGCTCTCTAGTCTTAGCACTGGCTGCCAGTTAAATGTTACATACCACCCTTCCTACAGTCAGCTTTCAAAAGGCCAACTATGAGGCTGGAGAGATGGCTTCGTGGTTGAGAGCACTGGCTGCTCTCCCAGAGGACCTGGGTTTGATTCCCAGCATCCATGTGGTAGTTCCCAACTCTCCGTAACTCCAGCTCAGGGGACTGCATGTCTTCTTTTGGCTTCTGTGGGTACCAGGCATGCAAGTCATGTGTAGACATACATGCTGGCAAACAACCATAACACATAAGAAAATTAAATTAGACATTTAAAAACTTGCATAGTCAGAGTTCTGTAGATTATAGAGTATTATTAGTTGTCTAAGCATAGTTCCTAAATTTGTAATACTTGTTTACATTTTGATGAAAATAATGACATTGGCTTTTTGTTGTTGTTGTTTGTTTTTTTGGTTTTTCAAGACAGGATTTCTCTGTGTAGCCTTGGTGGCTGTCCTGGGCTAGGCTGGCCTCGAACTCATAGAAATCCACCTGTCTCTGCCTCCCCGAATGCTGGAACTACAGGTGTGTCCCACTGCACCTGCTAAATAATAATGACATTGTTATGAAGAAATACAAAGCCTTTCAAGGTTTGTAGGTTCTTACCCAAATATCAACACAGGGCCTTTTATTTCAAGTTTTTAGTTCCATTTACTCCATTAAGAACAGTCACGGTTACAGTTTTCTCTCTCTCAGATTCGTCCTCTGGATGTCTAAAAGCTTCAAGTCATCTTGGTGCCATAGATGTTTATGTCAGCCAGCTGGGGGAAGTGGCGCTGACCTCGCAGGAAGGTGAGCCAACTGGAGTGTCACAGTTTGATGTGTAGTGTGAAGGAAGAATGATGGAGTGTTTGGGAAATGGGTGGTTGGATTGTCTACAGTGACAATTTTCTCCTGTCAGATCCTGGTTTAAACACTGGCTATTGAGCTTTCCAAGCCAATCAGTCATCGTTGTTTAGGACAGGTGGCCATGAAGACAGACTTTCTTTTTTCAGGTCAAACAAAAATGATTCTATAGTCTGACTGTTCCTGTAGAATTTTTAATGTTCCTGTATGGATCTTTCAGTTTTGTCATGTAGGAAATAGAGTATTCTTCGTAGGGAATACAAAGCCTGTAGAGAACCTCCCCTGCCATGACTGTAGAACAGTAGCCTTCAAAGTGTGACCCCGAGGTGTCTCCACAAAGGTTCTCCGAAGCAGCCTTTCGATGTGTCTGCCTATATAATTTCTCATATAGGCAACTTATTCTGAGTTCACTATTTTATTTAAAATTGCATATCTTTTTTTCACTGTAAAGCTGAATATGAGTTGTATGCATCTAAATAGTTATCTTAAATACACTTCTATTCCTCTGAAAACTAATTATATATGTAGGCAAATATGTGTGAATCAGTGACAGTGTAGCTTAGCTCTATGGGTGGAAGTGGCTGAGGTGCAGAAAATTAGGACCTATACTTCTGTATAAAAGACTTAGAAAGATTAAGAACAACTTATAGGATCTTTTGCACATTGGCTAGGATGGGACTGTGTATTACAAGGATAGTATTTCCTCTGAGAAACTAGTTCCTGCCATTGTTAATTTGGTTGCTACTAACAGTCTTCTGTCCATTCAGGCTGCTTTATCAGAGCCAAAGGAGAGGTGTTGAGCTCGGGGTAGACCTGAAACTGGTGCTGACACATAGGAGGATTTCTCATGATCCTGGCTTGTTTTTTTTTTTAAAATGGGATATGATCTTGTTCTCACGAAACTGCTAACTTTAAAGTCTTAGTTACTTTCCTATTGCTGTCATAAGATACCATGAACAAGGCAGCTTATTAGAGAAACCATTTATTTGGGGCTCACAGTGTCGAAGGGTTAGAGCCCATGAGCATGGTGGGAGCTTGGTAACACGCAGGCAGGTGTGGCATGGAGCAGCAGCTGGGAATCTACATCTTGCCACAAGCAGAGAGGGCTAACTGGGAGTGGTGGGGACTTTTGAAACCTCAGAGCCCGCCTCCAGTGACACACCTTCTTCAGCAAGGTCACACCTCCTAACCCTTCCCACAGTTCCACTAACTGGGGACCCAGTATCCAGACAGAGGAGCCTGTGGGGGCCATTCTCATTCAAAGTCTTAGCCATATAATTTTACTCTCTTATGAAGACCCATGAGGATAACTATTAACCATAAATAACTAGTAACAGAGTGAAAGAAAAATGTTTTGAATAAACAGCTCTTCTGTATAAACTATTTCTTATATTGTGCAGTAGATAAAAAATTTTAAAAATTTGCATTTTTAAAACTTTGAAGTTTATCACTCATCATCTACTTAAATTATTTTTGAGTATTAGTTATAGCATTTCAACAACATATTGAAATAGTATATGATACTACACTCAGGATTATAATTTTGTTTTCCTACTGCAAACCATGTTCCTGTCAGCTTAGAGATAACCAGAAACAAAGATCTCTACCTTCTTATTCAGGATTCTTTTTTTTTTTTTTCAGGATTCTTTTGCTTAGTGGTTAGTTGAGGCTCTTGGCAATCTGTTCCAGCTTTGCCAGTGTCTGGCTTTGGAGTTCAGAGCCAGCTATTTGAGTCTCTTTGGTCTTCACCATTTAGCTATAGAGCTGAGGAGCTTATTTTTTCTGTCCCGTGAAAGTGAACATGATGGATAGCCTTATTTATTCATTCAGAAAGTCTGTGATTGAGTCAGCTTTACCTGAGAGTTCTAACATTTCCGCTGACCTGTCTTAGGAAAGATGCATAGTCCTCACATAGTCACATAGTATGCCTTCAGTTTGTGGCATTACTGGTATTAATTCACTTTTGAACTTTTGAGAGAATGGTATCGGCTGGTGACCATCCAGAATTTATCTTCCTGGTTCCTTTCTTCTCTCTGTGTGTGAATGAGAGTTCCTAGGTCATGTGTGGTGTTTGTGCACATGATTGTGAATGGAGGCCAGGGGAGGATGTTTGGTGTCCTACCCTATTGCTCTCTACCCTAACCCTCTGACACATGGTTTCTCTGTGAACCTAAAACTAAGAAGCCAGCAAGAAACTCAGAGGTCCTCCTGCCTCCCGCCCTTTCCCCCCAGGAGTAAGCTATAGCACACATGGGCATTTTCTGCTTCTTAAATGAGTTCTGAGATTTCAACTCAGGTCCTCATGCTTGTGCAGACAGGACTCTTACCCACTGAGCCATCTCTTCAGCCCCAGGAGTCCATCTTAACTCAGACTTCCTGCTGCCATTAGGAAGACTAAGAAGACTTAAGATTGAGGCAATCAGCTGATGGTAAGCAGACTAGGAGAGCATGACCCATATATGAGTGAATTCTAAGGAAGGTTCACAGTGTACATCACTCTGACTCTCTGTCCCACAGATGAGCTGGTACTTATGGCAGAAGGCTCTAAAAGCTGATGAGAAGCAGAATGAAGCTGATGGAATAGGAGTGTGCTGGTAAATTTGCACTAAGACTTACATGGTTGTTTTGACAGGGGATTTCATAGCTAATGGAGTACTTTTTCTGATTGGTTCCTTTAAAATCTTCCCTTAGAATAACCACCAGCCTATACTGAAAATAAAGCTGAGTGTTTTGCTGTTAGTACTGAAAAGCCTATAACTGACTCTAAAGGAACATTAGAATCCAAATAATCTTGTTATTTTTTCCTTACACTCCAAGCACAACTAGACATACAGGACCCTATGGCTCATGTGGCATAGTGATCAGTGAGGTCATGAGTTGTGCAGGTATGAGGGAGCAGTGTGTGAAACACAGAGTAACAGCTGAAAGCACAGGCTTTGTCGGCGGCACTGCCCTAAACTTACAGCTGTTGTGGGAACTTGAACAAATCCTCAACTGTAAAGTTGAAGTGATGATGGTGCTTCAAGAAGTTGAAATGGTGATTGTCTGGCTCTTTGCAAATGCTCGCTGATAGCATATCCTATCTGTGCCACGTGTGTGGTCAATTACTACTCCTGTTTTTTCTTTTTTTCCATTATGGTTGAGCTAAGCAGGGATGTTAAATAAGATCTAGTAGTTTCTAATGCTTTGATGCCCATACTCTTGACAGAAGTCACAGTGAATGCCTTGAGAGGATACTTTGAATGCTCAGGAGAAAGAAAAATCCAGTGCTGTTTAAATCAATATGCAGAGGAGGGAAAACAATAAAGCAGTAGAGCAGTATTTCAATTAAATGTATGATTTTACTTATTTGTGTCGGTTTTACTCTAAATTTGCCACAGGTTTGATTACTGTCAAGGCCCCATCTTCTCTCCAAGCTTATTTAAAGTTATCGGGGAAAGAGGTAGTTGTGGACACCGAAGCTCGTATTCAGGAAATGGCCAAAGATCATAAAAGTGACGGTGTGACAGTGACAGGTAAGGAGACCGCAGGCTGCCGTGCTGGCCCCGCAGGAGGCTGCTGCCCCTGCATGAGTGACGGGTGGCGTGGTAATTGCAGTTTAACTCTTCACCATCCTTGTGCTCTAGTGTTTGCCACTGTTCCTCAGCGATTGTCAGCAACATAACGCAGACCTGACTGACCTCCTTCAGGCCTTCAGGAGCATTCAGAAGTTCTGTCCTTAGATAAAGTGAACTTAAATCTTTTTCCTGGGGCAGGGGGATGTCCAGTTCTTGAACTCGAAAATTAACATTTATTATCACACAAGCCTTAAATTGATTGCACGATTAGACAGGAATCTTGTTAGCTATGCACACTGTAAAGCTGCTCTTTTGGTGTGGCAAATTCTCAGTTCCACAAAGTAAATACTTCTTGCACATTTTTCATTACATCTAGCTGTACTACCTTTAAATATTTATTTTAATGGCTACCAAAATTAATGCTGACACTTCGCTTAAAATCCTAATACAATGTCATCAGGAAGGACACTGAAATAAACTGCACACGTAGGTAAGCTACAGGCTTACCCATGAGATAATGGCTAAAGGAAGAATATGAGGACGTATTTGTCATAACAGTAAGTTTTTACTGTTTTTTTCAGATAGCTTATTGTGCTATGTTTTATTTTTAGTTAGTTGCAGGAATATTTTTCTTTAATTACTTTGGTTCATTCATCATTCAACAATGTGTTGTTTAATCTCCTTGAGTTTGTGTAATTATTAGAAAATTGTTTACTGTTGATTTTAAACTTTGTTCCACTGTGGCCAGATAAAGTAAATGGAATTATTTCAGTTATTCTGATTTTAGTAAGATTTGGGTTCTGTCCCAGGACATCTTAAGCTTTCATGGGCTGCTGTATAGAATGCATATACTTTGGCATTTGAGTGGAATTTTCTGTAGATCTGTTAGGTCTTCTTGGTGTCTAATGCCATTCATTTCTGACATTATTCTATTTATTTTTTTGTCTGTATAAGCTATTTATTGGTTAAAGTGGGGTATTGAAATCACCTACTGAGTTTAAGTCCATCTGTGCCTTTAATTCTGGCACTCTTCTTATGAAATTGGGCGCACCACGTTTGGTGCATATATATTTAAGATTGCAATGGCTTCTGGTTAACTGTTCCCTTGATTAAATGAAATGTTGTTCTTTATCTCTTTTGATTAGCTTTGGTTTGAAGGCTTTTATCAGACTTAGGATAGGGGTACTTGTTTCCTGGTCCCATTTGTTTATAACAGCCCATACTTTTGTTTGTTTTTTGTTTTTAATCTTTCAACATTTTATTGTTCTTTAAATTTTTATTTTTTATACTAATCAAAGGTTATTTATTTTGTATCCCATCTGTAGGCCCCTTTCTCATTCCCTCCCAATCTCACCCTCCCTCTCTCATCTCCTCCCTGTTCCTCTAAGTCACTTTTAGGGGAGGTGCTTCTCCCCTTCCATCTGACCCTAGCTTATCAGGTCTCACCAGGACCGGCTGCAATGTCCTCCTCTGTGGCCTAGCAGGGCTGCTCCTCCCTCAGGGGTTGGGGAGGTCAAAGAGCCAGCCACTGAGTTTATATCAGAGACAGTCCCTGTTCCCCTTACTAGGGAACACACTTGGACACTGAGCTGCCATGGGCTATGTCTGAGCAGGGGTTCTAGGTTATATCCATGCATGGTCCTTGGTTGGAGAATCAGTCTCAGAAAAGACCCTGGTGCCCAGATATATTTGGTCCTTGTGGAGCTCCTGTCCTCTCCAGGTCTTACTAACTTTCTCTTCTTTCATATGATTCCCTGCACTCTACCCAAGGTTTGGTTATGAATCTTAATATCTGCTTTGATACACTGCTAGGTAGAGTCTTCCAGAGGCCCTCTATAGTAGGCTCCTGTCTTGCTTCTTGTTTTCTCCTACTTCCAAATCCATCCATCTTTCTAAGTAAGGATTGATCATCTTACCTGGGTCCTCCTTCTTGTTTAGCTTCTTTAGGTGTACAGATTTTAGTATGTTTATCCTATCTTATAGGTCTGCTACCCACTTATGAGTATATACCGTGTGTGTCATTCTAAAGTATTTATCTTTAAAGCTGAGTTTCTTGTAGACAACAGAAAGATGGATTTTGTTTCTTACAATCAACCTGTGTCTGTTTGGGAGAACTAAGTTATTATTGAAAAGTATGTGTTGATTGCAGTCATTTTAATGTTTTGTTTTCTGTTTGTGTTTTTAGCCCTACTTTTTCTTCTAGTAATTATAGGTTCATTTGTTTTCTTACTATAGTCTCTTGACTACACTTCTCTCTTTAGTATAAAGTAATACTAGTTCAGTATTCTTGAAGTAGGGTGGACTTGAAGTTTTTCTTTCTCCTTGACTATGGCAGAGAGTGTTCCTGGGCATAGTCATGTAGATTGATATCATGGACTTTTAGAATTTGGAATATGTTCTAGGTTCTTCTGGCTTTTAAAGTTTTCATTGAGAAATCAGCTTCTGGTAGGTTTTGCTTTGTGTGTGACTTGTGTTCTCTTTGCAGCTTTTACTCTTTGCAGTGTGTACTAAGAGTTTTTACCATGCTATGCTGTGAGAAGTTTCTTTTCTGGTCCTGTTTATTTATTTGGTGTGCTGTATGCTGCTTGTATCTGTATGGGGCTGGCTTTTCCTTGATTTGGGAAAATTTCCTTCTGTGACCTTATTGAAGATCTGTGACACTGACTGAAGTGTCTTCTCTTTCATCTCTATCTATAATTCAAAGATTTGGTCTTTTCATGTTGTTCCATAGCCCCTTTGTATGTTTTTATTTTTATTTTTCATATGCCTGCTTCTATGGTGTAATTCCTCTACTTTGTTTTCAAGTCCTGATATTCTTTGTTCTACTTGATCCATTCTATTTGTAAGGCTTTTCTCTGAGTTTTCTACTTGGGTTCATATGAACTTTACTATGTTGATTTAGAGGACTTTTTTCCTTGGAATCCTCTATCCTCTCTAGCTCTTATACTCTTTCTGCCTCATCTTTCATGGGTTCCCTGAGCCCTGAGAAGAGGGATTTGATGGAGACATGCAATATAGTGCTGAGTGTTCCAGAATCTTTCATTCTCTGCATGTCTGGCTGTCAGTCTTTGTATTTTTTCCCATCTGCTACAGGAAGAAACTTCTCTGATGATGGCTGAGCAAGGCACTGATCTATGAGTATAGCAGAATGATATTAGAAGTCCTTTTATTGATTTTTTTTTTTTTTAACCATAGTATTTGGTTTTCCCCACATCACTGGGCTGTCTAGTTTCAGGTTCTTGGTTACTCAAGTAGTGTCCGGTGCAGGTTCCATCTCATGAAATGGGCCATAAGTCCAGTCTGACATTGGTTACTCCCACGAGCTTGGTGCCGCCATTGCCCAAGCATATCCTGCAGGCAGAACAGCACTGTAGACTAAAGGGTTTGTAGCTGGGTTGCTGTTTACATTTCTCCTTTGGTAGCATGCAGAGTACCTTCCTGTGCCACTGTAGAACAGAGGTGAAGGCTGTCTATGTGGGCAGCAGCTTGACCTCTACATGTTCATTGAGTTGCGTAAGTGTTGTCTTCAGCAATGAGGTCTTGCTGTCTCCCACTATCAGTGTGTGAAAATCAATATGTGACAAGCTGTAGTAGTGTCTTTGTTTGTTTTATGAACATGGATGTGCTTGTGTTTGCACCTACTTGCATAGATGTTAAACTGCGATGTCCTCTTAGTGGATTTTTTCCTTTAAGTATGTATTATCCTTCCCTATCTCTTCTGATTAGTTTTTGTTTGAAATCTATTTTTTTCAGGCATTAAAATGGCTACACCAGCTTGCTTCTTAGGTCCATTTGTTTGGAAATGTCTTTTTCCATCCTTTTACCCTGAGGTGATGTCTATCCTTGATGTTGAGGTGTGTTTGTTGGATTTAGCAGAAATTAGATCCTGTCTTCGCATCCATTCTGTTACTCTGTTACTGTCTTTTAATTGGGAAATTGAGACCATTGATATTGAGAGATAATACTGAGCAATGTTTTGTTGATTCCTGTTATTTTGTTGTGAGTGTGCTCCTCTTCCCCTCTTTTGATTTGCTGGTCTGGGATTATTGTGTGTGTGTGTGTGTGTGTGTGTGTGTGTGTGTGTGTGTGTGTGT